TGATAATTTCAGCCTCTTACTTTTTAAATAGGCAAACGTGATTTTCCTGTTTCTTTGTGCTACTTTCAGCGTCCTTCAGCTTCTATTTGGCTGATTTTAGCTTTTTTAGCCATCATTCTGACCTTTTCTATCTGCTAATTTTAACATTTTTTTATTTTTGCAGCTGCTTTTTGCCAAATTCAGCCGTTTTTTGTGCTTTTTGTCTCATTTGAGTCTTTTTCAACTAAATTCACTTTTTGTGATAGTTTCAGTTTTTTCAGCTGCCTGTTTTTTAAGACTTGTTTCAGCTTTTTTAGTTCAACAAAAATCTCAGCATTTTTACAGGAAATGTAAATTCTAGTTGCCCTTGCTTTCATCTTCAGTTGGCGTGCATGAAAACTTGGAATTATGCTCCTATTCAGGTGTGGGATTATAATCTGTTGGGTGCACAGCAGGCGTTTGACAAATAGTTGTAAGATTAGTTTGGTTTATTTCGAACATGTTCTCTATATACAGACAATCATTTTAATTGAAGAAAAGACAATTAAAATAAAGAAAGTGTAAGTTATTACAAGTATCTCCATGTTTTTCTAGTATAGCTCGCATGTTGAAACGTATTTAATCCCACCCCTTCAACAGTAATTATCAACCCTCACCAGTCTAACCCCATCATTACCACCACTAATGAAATAACAGACATATTTACTGTATTTAACACAGGTTTTTGTCGTATTTTTATGTGTTTATGATTGAAGAGAGGACGGGTTTCATGTCTCACACTGATGGAACTTTCTGATGATTTGATAAAAAGCCTAAAAGAATAAATTTATATTTATTAAACCTGATAATCAGATAAATGAGTCATATCAAAGACTTTCACTTGAACAGATCAGACTCTTGGTTTTGATGGAGAGTTGAAGCTTTGATGAGTGTTTAGCTCTCTCTGAACTCTGCGTTGTTCCTGTTTGGACACATTGTACAGAAACATGAAGCGAGCCGAGCACCGTCGCCTCATGTCATCAGGATGCATCGTGAAAGCAGCGTTTGCACCTCCTCCTCCACACATACCTCCGTCTCCTCTCTGTCCTCGCCTCTCAGATCGGTGCGGTGACACTCTCCAGCTCGCCGGCGGGCCGGGCCGCAGCCCTGTGCGTCGTCACTTTGATCTTCCCTGCAGTTATTAAGAGAGCTGGCCGGAGCCCAGGGGGCACTTGATAATACCAGGATATGATCATAGCTGCGCCGCTTCACATCCTGTAATGCAGACATCAAAACACTTCTCTAAATAGGGCAGAAGCAGGTTGAGAGGATGAGTTCAGATTAAAAAAAAGTTTTCCTTTTTTTTTTAACAAGGAGAAGCCAATTTGGATTCTGCAAGTAGATACTTGGGGTTCTGCAAATGCAAGCAATTCCTTTATCTCTTGCCTGTAGCAGCACTCTTCAAAAGGCCTCTGTGCTCCGACTTTCCTGACTCCCAGATGAAAGCGGCTCACTTTTTTCTTTTTTTTTTTCTTTTTTTTTACAGCTGGAAATCCTTGATAAGTTTGTTCAACTTTTCAGAGCGTGCTCTGCAGAATTCAGTTCTCGTTGCATCACATGGAATCATGCATTAAGTCGATTCAGGGGGGGACTGTTTCTGGTTTTCGGTCACAGGGTTGGCTTAATGTGGTGCAGATTCACACGGGGTGACATCATGGGGAGCAACGGCCACATGTGCGTCCCAGCAGAACGTAACCACTGCCTTGTTTACTTCTCCCCAGTTGGTTCTCCTTAAAAAAAAAAACATTTTTTTAAATCTTCATTGCTCCTGAGCTGCACGGGGAGAGAACTCCCTCTAGTGGCTGTAAGGTGAACTCCTCTTCAGTGTAAACATGTAGCTGTGTTGTTGAACTCATCTAATAATGACTGTGTTGTGTGTTGGCAGGCGAAGAGAGCGGTGCAGCGGGGAGCCACGGCCGTCATCTTCGATGTGTCGGAGAACCCAGATGCCATCGATCAGGTTGGTGCGCACCTGGAGTTAGCCAGGCTTTCACACTGCCTAAATTAAAAAATAAAAAAAAACTGCTTCTTCGTTTTGGAAGTCACGTGTTTGTGCAAACAGTGATCTGTGCAATTTTCAACTCCACAACTTGTGTTTGGAGGACTGACGATGGATACCCAGGTTCAGCTTTCACCGAACTGCGTGCAGCTGCTGATTGCACAGGTAGAGCAGGTTACCTGAGCTGCCGGAGCCCACAGAGCCGTGCTCCTGTACGAGAGCACACCTCCTGTCACACTCGTCCACGTATCGCTTTCTTCCACCACTCCTGTAAAGCAGCTCTAATCCCTCCAGTTGCTCCTTTTGTCGCAAGAATTTTCTTGCGGTATTCATCCTCGTAAAGGCCAGCCCAGGCCCGGACTTGCAGAGTTTCTTTTCTTTTCTCTTTCCCTTTTTTTTTCTCTCTCTCTCTCTCTCTCCTCCTCTTCTTCTCTGCTGCTGGGTCGTAAAGTGCTTAGCTGAGAGATAAAAGGGATTGCGCACAGACCACATGAAAGGCAGCGCTGGGCGGCTGCGTTAAATTCCCCCGAGAGGCTTTTCCAGTCAGAGCAGAGACGGGAGCCGCGAGGCCGAGGGGCGGGGAGGGGGGAGGGGCTTAGGGAGAATTAAGGCCCCCCAGCCAAAATTAGATGAAGCTTTTTGAAAAGTTAAAGCACTTGACCTTGATTTATTTATTTATTTCCCCCCACTCATTTCGGACTAGAAAATGAAGACGAGCTGCTCGGGGAGAAGTTAGACTTTTTTTTATAAAGTTGCAGCTTCAGCAAACTTTACAGCAGAAACACGACAACAGAGGAATCCATAACGTTTTATTTTCCCCGTACCCCCCC